TTTTTTTAAATTTCACGTACCCCCTAAGATGTCTTCGCGTACCCCCAGATATAATTTCTCTTCAACTTTGTACCCCCAAAGTTGTTGGTGTATAATTCAAATTATACAAAGTATATAATCTACATCTAAAATAAATTAAATAAATTAAATAAATTACATTACTGATTATTCAGTGTTTATCATAAAATAATATTATTTTTTTAAATTTCACGTACCCCCTAAGATGTCTTCACGTACCCCCGCAGTTGTAAAGATATCCCTCGTGACAGTAAACCTGAACTTTATTTTATTAATTCAATCGTAATTTAATACAGTTTAGATGGAGAATGTAATTTTATGATTCTTGTGAATAACATACCGATTTACGTTCAAAAATAACATCTAGTTGTGTGCATTTGTTATTTGTAATTCTCAAAACGTTTTTTAACTAAAATGTGACTGTATTAAGGACTTTGATTTGTAGTTTATTTACAGATCGTTCTTTAAAAAACATTAATTGCTATGCGCACTGTACACAGAGTTGATGAAATGAACGCTGAAAGGGAGGTCTTCCGTCCTGATGTTTAATCGTCGATTCTACTGAACCCATTTGGGTTAAATTTAGTGTTGAGGTTCGTGGTTAAATTAATTTTGGTTCCTTTTGGTCGAGTACGTGTTTAATTATTTAACTAACTCCCTGGTAGAAGAACCCGCACGATTCTGAACCAACTCCATCCACTGCCATCTTGAAATTGTCCTCCCATCTCCTTCTTGGTCTGTCCAGTGGTCGTTTTTTTTAGAAGGATTCCCCACCCCTTTGGCCCCCTAAACGTCCTATATTTCATTATCCTCACTGTGATAGGTGACCCGTACAATTCACGAAGCTCCTTGTCATTTTAATATTCTAAATTCCCCACTCATTTCATTCGTCCTAGGTCCAGATATCTTCCTGAGCTCCCCGTTTTCAAACACTACGTCGTTCCCTCAAGGTAAGAGCCGTCTTTCACAGCCATACAAAACAACAGCAAAACTGAATAAAAATTTCCTTGGATATTATCCAGCGTCTAGTAAATATAAAACGTAAAACGACGTTTCGGAGATGGGACTCTATCTCCGTCTTCAGGTTCCTACGCAGTTGGGCCCACTAGATAGAGCTAATCCCTATCTCCGGACCTTCCTTGGATATTATCCAGCGTCTAGTAAATATAAAACGTAAAACGACGTTTCGGAGATGGGACTCTATCTCCGTCTTCAGGTTCCTACGCAGTTGGGCCCACTAGATAGAGCTAATCCCTATCTCCGGACCTTCCTTGGATATTATCCAGCGTCTAGTAAATATAAAACGTAAAACGACGTTTCGGAGATGGGACTCTATCTCCGTCTTCAGGTTCCTACGCAGTTGGGCCCACTAGATATCTCCGGAGATAGGGATTAGCTCTATCTAGTGGGCCCAACTGCGTAGGAACCTGAAGACGGAGATAGAGTCCCATCTCCGAAACGTCGTTTTACGTTTTATATTTACTAGACGATGGATAATATCCAAGAAAATTTTTATTCAATTGACTCTTCACCATCGTTAAGAAGTTTTAGATTTAACAGCAAAATTGTTTTTTTTTATATCCTGATGTTTAGTGTTTTGGATAGTAAACGAGATAACAGTTTTTGAATTGAATAAAAACAAGTTTTTCCAAAATGTATTGTAGTCTTAATTTAATCATGGACCTAACTTGTTGTTATTGTTGTTTCCAGATAGTTAAATTTTTTGAAGAAAAAAAATTTCAAATGATGTGTTAATTATAATTACGTCCCGACGTTTTTGCTGATGTTGATCTCGTATTACGTCAATGTTTTTTAGTTTAGTCTACGTTTAATTCTAGGCATCCCCCAGAAAATTGACGTCATCAGCACAGGCAAGTACCTGGTTCAGACCCTTCCTGATGCCCTCTGACATTTTCTATACCAGGGGTACTCACCCCTTTTTCGCTGGCGTAAAACTAATTCTAATTTAACTCATTAAATGTACCACTGACCAGGAAAACTTATTTATGTTAATATCGTCTTTTGATTTCCTTACTAAGTTCAGAAACGCTGTTCTAGAGGAAAATTAAAAAGCAGTGGGGATAAAGCTTCTTAGGACATTGTGACCTGCCATTGAAGCATCAGTGGATATTCCATTCGAATTTTGCAAGCGATTTGTGAATAATAAAACAAATTAAGCGGAGAATTTATGAACAGACAACAAAAGCGATGTCCCGGACAGTTAAAGATAGTGAAGTATTTGTCAGACTTGCGTGAATCGGAGCTAAAATGTTTTTAAAATTGTTTACTTTAAATTAAAATTAATTATTTGGTTTTTCCGTCAAATCACAATGTATTTAAAATAAGATAATTAAAATAATTAAAATATCATTCTGTGTTCCATATCGAAATCGATTTACAATTGGAATGACCAGGTTATTCGATATGGAACACAGAATGATATTTTAATTATTTTAATTATCTTATTTTAAATACATTGTGATTTGACGGAATAACCAAATAATTTAATTTTAATTTAATAAGTCACAATATGACGCAACTACACTATCTTATGTTTACTTTAATTCAAGATGTTCTGTGTGGAACAAATACAAATCGCGCATTAGGGAAATAACAAATGCTCACAAAGTTTTGTTGGCAGATCTCACGGGAAGGGAACCCTCGAGAGACCGAGGCGTGCGTCAGATGTTGGCATTTTTGTGGGTTCCAAGAAAACTATAATTGTACTTTTAAATCAGGATTTTGTGATGAAGGTAATGAACTCCCAAAATTGTTGGATGTGAGTCCCTGAAAACGGTTTTGAAATGAAAACTCAGGTTATTTGAACTGACACGTCTAAAATATGTGATGTTTTATTTGCGAATTTTTGGCACGTAAAAAAAATTTAATATTCGTAATTGTTCAGACAGTTTATTTTTAAGTCTTGCTGTGGTATTTTTGGAATTTAAAAAAATTCTGCTGCGATCTTTAATTCTTAAATAAAAACATTTTTGTTCTTAATTATGCCAAGTATATACCAGGAATGAAAGAAATAGAGAGATTTATCGTCTGTCGTAATGATTGAATAAATTAAATATATAAATAATTATCCGTCAAGGAAAGAAACTTAAATAAATAGACTTTATGTAGGTATGAATAGGGAAATAGACTAATCATTAAATAACTTCCAGCAACTTCTAAACTTGCTGTATGCTACAGGCCAGTTCATAAACGTCTCTGTTCTGTATGAATTGTTGATTTCACAACAGCCTTTTCGTTCGTTTTCCAGAAATAAACGGGACACAGTTGTCGCAGAATTTCGCTGCATTCAAATGCACGCGAGATGTCGCCCAGATAACGTCAAACAAAGGAGATCAAATTGAAGTATCAGGTAAAAATCTCACCATTTTTTTTTAAAAGTTTCAACGAAACAAGAACTTTGGAAAAATTTTCGCAATAAAATCAAATGTAATGTGATGTAAATTTTACGATATATTACACGTCTCAAGTTTCCAATTTTCAGGCTTTGGTGCATGACAATTAAAGTTTATTTAATATTTCTGCCAACAGAGGCGTGACCTCTGTTTTACACGAAACTAAAATTGAGATGTGAAGATTTTCTTTTAAATTCAAATTGTAAATATAATTACTGTTTGTAACTTATATGTGTTATCCTCTTTTCCACGTGTATTTTGTCGTCTCGCTGTGGTGTCTTAAACAGTTACAAGACCAGATCTCAAAAAAAAAAAAAAAAAAAAAAAATCAAGGTCAGAGAGGTAGCGAGATACGATTCTCCTGCTGTTTCGTCGCCCTCCGCTGTTCCTGGTTTGAGTTGAGCGTATTTTGGTTTCATTTTCAATTTATGAGAAGCGGTGCCCACCCTCAGTGGCCAGTAACCAGGGTTGCAAATAATTCGTTATCTGGCTTTGGCTGTCGTGGGACTGTTCTTGAACGCCTCAACAGATTATCCTATTTTATCGAACAAAACTGTTAATTTTATTACCGTGTCAATGAAATTTAATTATTAAATTGTATTCTTAGTCACGTGAATGAGGTCCATAACTCGACATCTCTCATAGAATTATTTTAGTATTGTCGACTTCTGTAGGTAAATGTCAACGCATTTGAAATACTGTATCTAGTATCTTTACACGTAATTTTCCTATGAAAATTCTCCTGACCACCCATCTTAACGTTTGTTTAATCGCCTAAGTTAATCAGGCAAAGAGTATAAATTACGACATACAGTATATTCCGGTTAAGTTGGCAATTGGTTAATCGAGGCAGCTGTTTAATTGGGTCAGAGTTTTCTAGTCTCGATGTGTCACAATTAACCAGAATCCACTGTATTTCCTTACTTCTTCTGTCTCCTGTGACGTATTTTTCTTAAATCTCAATTTGTTTCATCATTTGTTTCTTAAGTACACGTCTTGGATTAATTTCCGTTGTTGCCAAAACTGTAATGAAAGAACAGGTTCTCGCATCTTTCGTAAGCAATACGATCGTCTGAAGTAATAACATTTGAACAATGAAAGTGATGATTTTTACCCAACTCGTATGACTATAGTGCTGAAATCTAGCGTCGCAACGACGAAACAAGTTCTGCGCGCTCTGCCGTCAGGTTGGGGAATTAGCGTCAGTAGACTGTTGCTTGCGAATGCGTGAAGTCGTGAGTGCGCGCAGTCGATAAAATGGGAGCTAAGGCGAGTGTGGTAGAGGAGAGAAAATTCCACGATCACGCTTGGACGTTGGACCAGGTATCAAACCATCTTTGTTGTTGTGATTTATGTAGATGTTCGCACACGATGAAATGTGAAGGACTCGTGTTCAATTCAACTCCTTACAGCTTTAATTGCTTTAATTGAAATGTGTTAATGTCATGATTTATTCTGTTTATTGATTTATTTAACGGCGTTTTGTCTACCATTCGAAGCTTTTGTACTTTGTATAGCGATGGCGATTTGGAACCGGAAGCAAGCGGTCGTGGCCTATTTTAGGTACAGCGAAGCATCTCTTAAACCATTCTTGAAGACCAATTGATCATGTACTTAATACATTTTTACTTTGTGGGGAAACAGTTCAGTCTTAATATCTTTCTAAATCCCAGTGGAACCCAGACGTACCACTGATTTACCTTCTGTAATTGAATTTGTCGTTGCAGTTGGCCCAACTGTTCTAAAGGAACCTGCATCGACACATAAGCCACGAAAATGTTTAACAATGAAACTTAAAATCAGTGTTTACAATTGTAAACCAGACTGATATTAACATACAGAAACACGAAAGTATGTTAGATTGAAATTGTTTCGATGCGTTGTCAGTCAAGTGTTTATAAGTTCTTGTTGGCCCACAGATTTTGGTTTTCGTCACCAGGTGTCTCTGTTGTTCTTAATCACGCTTTCATAGTGGATTGCAGTTTTCGCTGGGTTGTTTAGTGATGTTTATACGTTTGGTTTGTGTGAACACTAAAGAAGTATTGTGTGAGTAAGATGTAATGTAACGTGATGTAGAGACTATTCACCTATTTCCAGAAGTACCACACCACGTGAAAATGTTAAAAGATTCCAATGCAAGAGAACGGAGCGAAGACATTTTCAAAGTGGCAGTTTAAAACGTGATTTTGTATGAAATTAGTAATGATGATAGGGTTAGAGGAAATAGGTACCAATAGTAAAACATTCCCACGTTGGAAACATTTATAAAAACGAATGGATTTTTCTTTCGTTGGCAGACATGAACTATGACGTACTAACAGTTGAAGACCGCTTTCCATCAGGTTTCATAATTGACAGCGAATATTCTAGAGTAGCCGAGTGTGATAACTGACCAGTAGCTGGTAATCAGTTGCAGAAATCGGGAAGGAGACTTGTAAGTAAGGAGTGGGGCAACCCGAAACAATGGGCTCAATGAATATGACAAAGAAATCTGAACACAGTTTCATCAAGTGAAAACCTCGGACAGATGTGTAAAGTTGTGATTACGAAGCGGACAACAATAGGCCTTCGCGGAAGTACCATCTTGATTCGAGTTAAAATTAGCGTAAACCGTGATTTGATTACCAAACTTATTTTTTTATAGAGAAATTGGCACAGAGGTAGACAGAATCTGTTATTGAAGTTACTTAAGAAAATTATATTAAACCAACTGTAACCGATTAATTATCCATGAATATCAATCTTAACAGTTTCGTACAGAAAATTATTCTTGTAAGGTTAATTCTCTGCGCAAAGGATGATATTTGGAATTTTTATTGTGGATTTCAAAGTTACGTATTAACTATTCTTCATAAATTGTTCATTTGTTAATTACTCGAGAAAATTTGCGTACAGAAGCTACTTATAGACGTAAGTAAGGCTTATGAGAATTGTACAATAATCTCATTAAACTCCGTTCGCCCTTGAAACTTGTTAGCCCAATTAATATGTGTATGAACGAAACCTGCAGTGGAGTTCATACATTTCCTGTTTGGAATGATCTGAGACAAAAGATTTGTTATGTCTGTTGCGTTATAATTCACGTTTAGGAACGTAAAAAAATACTCTCGACAGGATACGTCCATCCTGTAGACCCAAAATGACAAAGGAAGACACAGAAGGGCGATTGGATCTTAGTAAGTGAGTTGCTATGGAGGAAAACGCGGAATGCGAGACGGAATCTTGTCTTGTGAAGTTTTCGGGGGAAAAAAAAAATCTTTCGAAAATGTGGTCCATTTCAGATGTTTGTTAAAGGTAATTTACGATTAAAATTACATTTATGAGAAATTTAACACGAAGTCAGATGCACATCTTGGATGTGGTGGGGGGGGGGTCTGTCACCCAGAGAGAAGAGCTGAGGGTACGTGGGGGGCACGCGGAGATAAGAAACGAATACAGAAAATGCAATCTCAGATCCTCGATCGATGAGAGAGATTTGAAGACCTTAAACGAATATTATATAATAATATTAAAGTGAATTTTCGAGACGGTGTTTCAGGAGTTTTATGTCTCCAGTGGTAGGCTTTTGTGAACAAGGTAATGAGCCTTTGGATTCTGTGACAGGTGGGAGAGGTTAGTGACTGAGTGAGCGACTATTAGCTTGTCAGGAAGGTTTCTGTGTGTAATATGTATAAAGCTGAATTATTCGTACTCCATACATTTTTCTCATTTTGTTTGGTGTTCTGTGGTATTTTCGGAAGATTATGAGGAATTTTCTTGCTGAAATTGAAAGATCTTATGCTTCAAGTGTGGTTATGTTGGTATTACTGTTGTTCCAAGATTTATGTTGTTCAATTGCAGTAATTTATGCAAAGGACGAAAGTATTTATAATTATTGGTCGAGTCTCTGGAGAGTTTTCCGCCTAACAAATTTGAGTATAAAGAACGTTCTGTATAAATCCTCTGTAGAAGATTATAGGAAGTGCCACAAAGTCGAACACCCTCTGAATTTTTTGAAAAGTCGACTGTATTCGTAGTTGTTACGTAACAATATCTGAAATATATTTATTGTTTGTAAACGATATTAATCTGGTAGCTTTGATCGTCTTTCTGTTAAATGTTTTGCAATATTTTGATAGTCCTGATTGAATGAGTAGTGATATTTGAGGTTTTGTGTGTGGTATCGTGAATTATTTCGACACCAATTGTTTCTCTTATCTTTTTTATACGTCACGTAAAATTTATTTTTAATTTAACGTAACTATTAATTCTGAACGCCGTGGAATTAATGTGTAGTATTTTGCGTTAAACAACTTATTGCAAAATTTATTTTCAATCCTCGTAGAACTCTTGCCTTGTCCCCTTGCAAATGAGGGAGTGGTCGAGTTCAGATATCGATCATAAGTCTGGCTGGTTTAACGCTGACGTCACAGTAGCTCAACCAGTCTTCCAAAATGCATGCAATGGTCCAGGTCATTGAAATCTCTGGTGTATTTTCTCTGAGAAATTTCTACTAACAAATTATACGTGCCCCTTCATGGCGTCTAATTTGGAATTACTTTGTGCTCTAAAAATAAAAAGTTAAGGATTAAACAATAATTGTTACGAAAAGTACTACAGATGGTGTCTAAATTGTTGCTTTAAAGCGGCTTTGGGAAATAGCTAATGCCAGAATTGCAGAAATGATCTGCTACTGAGGAACATATTCAATCGCTAGAAATATTTTAAACAACCAAACATGTTTTAGGTGTAAAACTGTGCGTAACTTTAAAATTGCGTTATTACGAGACGTGTACTCTTTCTATGTTTGAATAATTTGAAATATAACAAAAAAATATGAAAATTACACTCGAACTGTCGTAATTTATGAAATTAACAGCGAAAAAATACAATTGTTTGTAAGTTAATAGGCGTCTTTGCAGTTGTTATCCGTTTCAAAGTGAAATCACTTTCTTTTATAGCCCATATTTTGTTTCCG